AGACACTCCTAACACCCCTCGGGGTGTGTGCTCTGTTAAGATACAGCCTGTTGTGCCTTAAAATGTCTTCTACTGTACTGCCACAAAATAGCTTGTACTGTACAGCGCAGTGGAGTTGCCGTGGTAACGGCTTCACAGTACTCCACAAGGGGGCTCCCTCTGGTAAGGGGGAAAATCCCACATTAGAAATTACGTTTGGTCTGGATATTTTCCCCCTATAAATAAATACCTGGGCGACGCCAGGTTATCAGCTAGTTTAAGATCAAAAAGTTGTGATTATTAAATCTAGAAAGGGTGGCACTGCTGTTTAAGAAGTTATTAAATGCCTCACTTTCTGCATTCAGATTCATAAAAGAAGCCATTATTTGACAGTTCTCAAGGAAAGCTACCTTGGGACAACCAGTTTTGTCGTTCCTGGATGAAAATAATTATCTTTTATTCATCTCAATCCTGTTGTAGGGTTGCTTTGGGGATGAAAAATATTTGGCCACTCAAACGACCTTTGGTGAGAGGAACTGCAACAATGAGGTCTTCCTAATTCTCCTGGGCCTTTCAGCGACTGTTGTTGCTGCAAACCACTATATTTTATGATAGTTAAAATGTCCATTTCTTGAAGACATACTTTGGAACAATTTCTCAACTTCCTGTGTTTTTTGGGTGCTGCAGTTCTTTCTCCCAAAATGCTGAATACCTACACAAAATTGTCGGGAGAAGTCGTTTAGGGATTTGCCACATACAAAACATGTAGGGGAGCCTCCCCTTGAAGTTTTTCAAATAAACTTTTCCATTTGTGGAAGAATTTTCCCGGGGAGCCTTGATTGCCGTTTTTATGATTCCTTGGGCGCTGACAGAATATATTTTTTTATTCTGCAACATGTATTAATTGGTCTCTGTCTCTCTCTCTTTTAAAAATATGATTGGATTGTGCCTTATAATTTTTAGTATTTTATTTCAGCCTTCACTGAGATTTTAGGGATGTTTTCAGAAGTGGTTTTCACATAATTTCACCACCAGTTCGCACCTTCCACGCATGTGCTTTGCTCACTCATGCAGCTTGCACGCATGTGCACGGCTCAGAAAATGTGGCTAAATAGAATGGCATCGCACCCGCAGGTTGCCACTACCAGTTCACCCGAACCAGTCTGAACCGGCTGAATGCCACCACTGGATGTATTAGGAAATTCTAGGTAGCAGGGTTTTGGAGAATGAAGACCCAACATATCTGTCAGACACAGAGTTGGGTAGGGCTGTTTGACACGGTATTAAATTCTCAATTTATTTGTCGGCTGCTTTGGGCCTGGCTATTGAATAAATAAAGAATAAACAAATATTTCTCCTACTATCATTTCACAGCTGAAGGCTGGATTTGAGTTAGGGAGTAACAGAGCCAATCTTAGCAAAGAAGAAGGGTTATGGACATCAATTGCCAGAACAGCTTCAATTTTTACGTCTCCCCATTGAATTCATAATTCAATGGGCTTTCCAGAGTGATCCTATTCTTTGAATGGGGAACTGGCTCTCTGCTCTCTGACATCCACAGATCTCTTTTGATAGACTCAGGGTCTTTTTGGTTCCAGATGAAATCCAGCATAGGGTTTTTTAGGAATAATTTTAAAAGGAAGCACAATTCAAGCAGGAAGGAATACCTCCCCAATACACAAGCTTTCATTCAAGATGCACTACATCTTACCCATTATTTATCCTCCGCCCACTCTAATTCACAAATGCTTCTTTATACCTCTGACAATGTTCTGACAATGAAATACATAAAATATAAAGTTACACAGATACTGCCAAAGACAAAATATGCAGAAAACTCCCTCCACTTCTGATTTAAACAATGCTCATTGCCTCCATAAACAGACAATTTTTGCTTTCTAGAATGAATGTGTGTGTGTGTGTGTGTGTTTGTGTATGCTGTATATACATATATGCATGCACACGCTATGTGTGTGTGTTTATATATACATATACACACATATGCACACAGATATATCTCTTTCTGTGTAATGTTATACACACACACACACACATATACATACATACACATCAGCATATTATTTTTATAAATATATAAAAATAAATATCATATGCCGGTGTTTTCAGAAATGACTTCAGCATAATTTGGCTGAATATATACAGGATATGTAATAAAATTCATTAACTGTGGTTTGATTACATTGATTTAATTTTGTTGCACTTCAAGTTATTTAAGCCTGCTAACTCCGTATTCTTCCATTTATTCCTCTGAGCCTTTTGAAATGAAATAGTTGAGTTAGAAAGATTGTTTGAATCCAACAATAGAATCACTTCTGATTCAGACTTTCATAATTGATTTATAATTGATTCAAGTATATTATTGCCTGGACTCTACATAATAGATTTTGTCAATGTGCGTGATCAAATGGTTATGATAAACATGGAACACGGCATTTATTAAATTTCAGCTTTTCGGGTACATAGATTTGAACATGTTTCAACATATTCAAATATATCCTGCTAACAAGGGCTAGAAACTGCAGGGGGTTGGACTAGGAGACCTCCAAGGTCCCTTCCAACTCTGTTATTCTGTTATCTCTAATGAATGAGAAAGCAGAAGGGAACAGAAGTGGGCTGCGAATGGCCAAGGATGGTCTTGGCTCATGTCAACTCAAGCAGAAAAAAACATTTATCTGAAAAAAAGTTGAAATAATTTGCCGGAGTATTGTTTAACCATAAGGCCAGATTTTTTCCCCCAAAAAATAAAAACTAACATGCACACTTCCTTGTAAATACAGGAATGTACTTTCTTTTTAAACAAAGGACAGACATGGTTATAGAATCAAATATTTGGCTTACCAATACGCAACTTGGTCTTTGATGCGTTTGCCCATTGTGAAAAATGCTCAGTCTATCACAGTGAAATGTCAAAAACCTAGTGATACTTGAGATTTTTCAGTGAGCCTTAAGAAGATTTTGAGGCATGGCCCATTTTGCATCCCTCTTCCCTAAAATTCAAGAATGTGGAAATTTTATTGGAGGAAGGAGGGTGGGATAATCTAATTAAGGTATGGTGATGATGACAGGCTGGGTAGCGTGTGAGAGATGGATGGAATCAATATTTTTATCTATCTCTCCCTTTATCTCTACCGCTCTCCGTCGCTCTCTCCCCTTTATTTCTTGCTTCTATTTTGGTTACTAAAGGGAAGTAGAAATCCTGAATTGATTGCCTCCAGAAGGCTTCTAAAGCTACATTGAACTCCCTTGCTGGTTGCATTTCTGTGCTGTAAATGATCAGATGGGTGTTGTTCCCTCAGAAAGCATCAACACTCACCGGGAAAATGTTAGGATGATTTCTCTCTCAGCTTACCAGCGCCTTAAAACAGTCGATGTCGATATTCACTGGGTTTTAAAGGTTTACGGTAGCAAATATGCTTGGTGGAGGTATTTCCGGAGCCAGGTTGTGGCTTGGAAAGGTTTTATCCCTATTTAATCATTCAATTCCCTAGATGGTTTCTCTCAGCCTAATTTTCAGAAGGGATGTTGCAAGGATGAAAGCAAAGGACCGGAAGCAAAATGTATACATGGAGAAAGAATTGCATTTGTTAGCTTGAGTTCCTGGAGGAAAAAAAATAGCTCATACGTGACTGTAATCTCTCTCTTTCTCTCTCTCTCTCTGTGTAAAAGATATATGCAGGGATCTTACCCTCGATGTGGAATATGGCATTATTTTTCTAACGGACTAGATGTGAATATGTAGCTAACGCTGTAATCTTATTCGAGAAATTGGGAATAAGGCTGAATGAACAACTCGGCGAGACCCGAATAAGACCAAGTTGTTACCGTATTTTTGGGAGCATAAGACATACCTTTCCTTCCCAAAAAAGAGGATGAAAATCTAGGTGCATCTTATACACTGAATACAGTATTTTTGGCCTACTGAATTCTCCTGCTCCTGGGGGCTGGGGAGGGCAAAAACGAGCAAAAAATGGGCTGTTTTTTGCTCATTTTTGCCCCTCCAGCCCCCAGGAGCACTCTACAAGCATCCCAAAGCTTTGCATGCCCCCCCTTTTTTTTCTTTGCAAAAAATGAGGTGTGCAGAGGGTTTGGGAGGCCTGCAGAGTGTAAAACCCTTTTTTTTTTAAATTTGCCTCTACAAAATCATGGTGCGTCTTATACTCCGGTGCATCTTATACTCCAAAAAATACGGTAATCATTCATTCTGAGAACCTTCACTAGTCACTCAGAAGAGTCTCCCCAGTCTCTTCAAACTTCAGATCTCCACTATATCACCCCTTGGAGAGTTTTTTTTAAAGGGTGAGGACCCAGCTGAACTATCCAAGATGTGCTTAGAAAACACGTGATTCTTTACCCTCCCTAGTTACAAATCTACAGGGGAGTTGTCCAACGGAGATACTACTAAAGATTAGCTCAGGAGATTGCGTGCTTCTCAGGTGTGATCCAGAAGCAATATTCAGGGCCCAGGTGGTCAGATGAAGATGTGCAGCCAGCAGACAGAGCTATATCGAAATGTTGAGGTCAACAGGGCAGGGGAACAAATTCAGAAAAAAAAACCAAATACTTTATAAGGACCTACTTCTCTTTCCCATCCCTATCAAGAAAGCTCAATCATGGGACTTGGGGATACACACACACAAGGGGGGAAGCAAAACCTGTCTTGTAACTCTTCTTTGGAAAGTCTGGATTGAAGAGAAAGAGGGAAACAACCCACAGGGGAATGCAAGAGTATTCGTTTCTGCCCACCCTAACCCTCAATCCAGAACTGTAGGGCTAAACAGTGGGAGGAAGGACCCCCATGGGATTTCGGTGGACGGTTAAATAAAATTCTGCTGAATTTCTATGAAAAAGGGGGTTGCCCCAAAACCTCTGAGCTCAACCTTGATCTTGATCAACCAGTTCTGTTTCCCTCCCCACCCCGCCCCGCCCCCACCCCGCCTACCGCCCCCAATTCTACCTCGCTTTTTAAAACAAGAGGGGCTTAGGAGACGGCGTATGCTCACCTCTGCTGAGTCCATCTGGTCCCCGAAGGATTCGGCATTCTTCTATCTGGCCAAATGGAGAAAACATCACTCTGATATCGTTCTCATTACACTTCTTCGAAACCATTCCTATGAACAATTTTCTGTCTTCCACAGCTAGAAGATTAAAATAATAATACTAATAATATCCACAACGGCAAAAGGCATCTTTCTCTCGCACTCTCTCGCTCACACTTCCCTCATCTGTGATCAGTGCTTATTACCACATCAAAAGGCAGAGTTGTGAGGGTGGCGCTGTCCCCGGGTGAGAAGGCGGGCGGGAAAACACTTCACACACACAACAACACTTCTCCAAATCACCTGCCTTTCCCTGGAGGGCGTTGCATATTTTGCAACTAGGATTTCTTTTGCTATTTGGGCGACTTATGGACTAGAATTTATAGACTAGGAGAGGCCGTTAGCTTTTCTACCTCTCATTTCGCTCTTGAAATGGAAAATCCATCTAATAATCAAGGCTAAACGTTGGTGAGTAAGACCAGAGAGTGAGCCTATTCTAACCTTGCCACAGTGACGCAGTGGTTAGAATGCAGTACTGCAGGCTACTTCTGCTGACTGCCGGCTGCCGGCAATCTGCAGTTCGATTCTCACCAGGCTCAAGGTTGACTCAACCTTCCTTTTCTAGGTGGGTAAAATGAGGACCCAAATTGTTGGAGGCAATAGGCTGACTCTGTAAACTGCTTAGAGAGGGTTGTGAACAGTGGTGGGATTCAAATTTCCTTACTACCGGTCCTGTGGGTGTGGCCTGGTGGGTGTGGCTTGGTGGGCATGGCAGGGGAAGGATAATGTAAAATATCCATTCTCTGCCCACTCCAGGGGAAGGATACTGCAAAATCCCTATTTCCTCCCCACTCCAGGGGAAGGATACTGCAAAATCCCTATTTCCTCCCCACTCCAGGGGAAGGATACTGCAAAATCCCCATTNATCCCCATTTCCTCCCCACTCCAGGGGAAGGATACTGCAAAATCCCCATTCCCTCCCCACTCCAGGGGAAGGATACTGCAAAATCCCCATTCCCTTCCCACTAGCTGGGACTCTGGAGGCAGAGAACAGATGGGGCGGGGCCAGCCAGAGGTGGTATTTACTGGTTCTCCGATAGTCAAAATTTCCACTCCTGGTTCTCCAGAACTGGTTGGAACCTGCTGAATACCACCTCTGGTTATGAAGCACTGTGAAGCGGTATATAAGTCTAAGGGCTATTGCTCTCACACCCCATCTTGCCCACGCATGTATGAAAGAGAAATTGGGAACAAAAAGTGATGCCTGAATATTCAAAATGAAACGGGTTAATAGAATCTCAAGGCAGCCTTTTTTAAAAACTATAACAATCCAGCTATTCTTATCTCATGCAGACATTGTTAACAAGAATGCTCATTAGACGAGAGAAACACTTCAAGGAAGTGTTATAAAATTATTTCAGAGTAAATGAAATCCCAGGAGATTTGCGATGCTGGATTGGTAAAAAGAAAAGTGGGATTAGGTGGGGTTAAAATTACTGCTAAATTATTTCACTTGATATAAAGAAGCCAAAAGGAAACAAGAAATAGGGGGAAAAAACTAGGTCAAGGCGATAGCTCTATGCGTCCAGGCAAATCTTCAGCAAATGCACATTCAGAAACTTTAAATTTACAGAGCTTGGAAATAAGCAAGGACTGAATGAATTGAATATTTGTTACTGGTGCAGAATGTGTCTGGCGGCACCTCACTAACACGAGGCTTGGACACTAAGTGGAACTTTGAAAGGAGATTCCTTAGGTGGTGTTTTTAAACCTTGGCAACTTTTAAGATGCTTGGACTTCAACTCCCAGAATCCCCCAGCTTCCTGTCATGTTTGGCTTTCATTTTTGTTAGATAGGGGAAGACATATCTCATCCAGTGGTGGGATTCACATTTTTTTTACTACTGGTTCTGTGGGCATGGCATGGCTTAGTGGGTGTGGCAGGGGAAAGGTATTGTAAAATCCCCATTCCATCCCCACTCCAGGGCAAGGATACTGCAAAATCCCCATTCTTTCCCAATCAGCTGGGACTCGGGAGGCAGAGAACAGATGGGGCGGGGCCAGCCAGAGGTGGTATTTGCCGGTTCTCCGAACTACTCAAAATTTCCGCTACCGGTTCTCCAGAACTGGTCAGAACCTGCTGAATACCACCTCTGGTCCGTTGGGCTTTGATTTTACATGGAGCTTTTTGCATTCCCAACAATACTGTGTGTATTACAGAGAGCCCTTGACTCATCCAGAGATCACCAATTCGTTTTTATCCATTTTCAGCAAAAAGTTCATAAAGGGTTTCCAGACTTTTTTCTAAAAGTAGTTA